GAACTGCACACTGGAACATTGAACATTTGATTGACAGTGGACTCGTATTTTTACCATTTTATGCCAGTTCACCGATTGGCTGATGTCTGAGTGCATCAGTCGTAACGGCTTGTCACCCTAGGCAATTCGTCATCACGTGGTAGAACCTAGGACCGTATGGGTGCTCCATCCACCGCTTCGTCGAATAGCAGCAGCTCAAGTACCAAGGACAAAAAGGCAGACACCATAGCGAGGAACTTCCTGGAACTTTGTCACATACCTTTCAACAAACGGCAGAATATACGTAGCCGTAGGTTGCCGCTTTTCCTTATAGGGAAAGGCGTTGGAGCGTTATTTGCGAACGGACAAACTATTTGGACCTACTATACAAATTTTATCTTCGTGTTCATACTTCAGGCCACCTCTGCTCTGGACACGACAACCGAACGGATCATTCAATCAAGTCTGTACAAAATGGCCCAGAATCGAACAACACTGGTCGTAGCCCACCGCCTCTCGACCATCGTGAATGCCGACGAGATCATCATGATGCACCAGGGCGAGATTGTCGAGCGAGGAACTCATCACCAACTCTTAGCGATACCGGACGGGCGGTATGCGAAACTGTGGCAGGCACAGAGCGAGACGGGACAGAATTCGATCGACAGAATTGATAGCCGTCCTGTCCTATGACAATTACGGTATGCATGACTAGTTCCCATGTATCCTTTGTCACACCTACCAGGCATTGATGATCATTTTAGTCCACACCCCAGCTACACTGAGTCAGACATTAATAAATGCAAAGCTGATTCTTGAAGTGCGTTTTTTTCTGCGTGGAATATGACATCAATTTCAGATAGGGTAGTCTTGCAGAAGAGGGTTCCCGTGAAATACCCGATATTAGTTTGTTCAAACATAGTGTAGCATGTTTTGCCCGGGGAAATTCTGGTTCAATAGCGGGTATTATCATTGGTTTTATTTGGCCTATGTCCACATTTTTTCAGTGGATTTCCGAACCTATATGCACTTTTCGAATGAATCCGTGACGCTTTCTGGCAGATCAGTGGGTGAGAACCAAAATCAATTCTGAAACGATAGCGTTATCGAGTGCGACACTTTAACAAATGTGACGCCTGCTCTGAATGCCTATTTCAGTCGCCTCTTGCCTAAAGCGACTTGTTTAAATGGGTTAATTTTCAAGGTCACCTAACATCTTGAATTAAAAAAGACCTGGTTAAACGTTTGTTTTATTTTCTTCAACAAGGGAAGACTGGAGAGTNTTTAACAAATGTGACGCCTGCTCTGAATGCCTATTTCAGTCGCCTCTTGCCTAAAGCGACTTGTTTAAATGGGTTAATTTTCAAGGTCACCTAACATCTTGAATTAAAAAAGCACCTGGTTAACGTTTGTTTTATTTTCTTCAACAAGGGAAGACTGGAGAGTGATGCGTCCTACTGCTTTTTCACAATCATTAAAAAGTAGCTGCAAACTCTTCACTACGCGCAGTGAACACTTGGCTGAATGCCAACATATGAAGTAGGAGTGCGCAATAATCTGATTATACTATTCAAAGAAACACGTTCAAAGCCTGGTACTATTGCCAGAAAACGTTATTTTGCGCTGGAGTCTACATAGCCTTTCTCTAGCCATGCACGAATGCTATACCAGATACAGTCCACAAAGCGAGGCTGTTTTGCTCTCTACACACTTGGCCTCAATAGGAGAGGCAGCAGTGAGAGGCATCACTCCTTCTCTTCCTCGATGTTTAGCTCTCTTTGGTCACCGCCACCCGAAGAATGTCGTTGGCGAAGAGTGACCTTTCATCATGTCACCGTGACCATGTTTCTCGCTACAAAACGTTAAAAGACGCGAGAATAGCAAACAAGGTCCAAATTCATTAACATATTCAGCTACTGAAAATATTGCAAGTAGATTATAATTAATCCAACTGCCGGTTTAGATGGCCAAGCCGAAACTACTTAGAATGGCAGAGATCTCTCGTCCCGACGGTGTACCGAGGTACGCTCAAGACGCGCTTCACTAAGTCTCTGAGAGAATGATGCTTCGTTTGGTTGATTTCGGCACCATCATAATGCGGCACCAGAGTATCCTTCTCTTGGTACGTTACAAACCGCAGTGGTGACGCTTATTAATGCTCCGGCTATGAATGGTCAAATTTACGAATCAGTAGGTGATGTGCACTAATAACAGTTTGTATTGTGTAGGGCAGTGGTTTGCAGTTGAAAGTTTGGCCTTGTGTACCGTAGATACAGTACAAAAGTGGAATAAGTCAAAAGGGAGACTTGTCGTTTGAACAACTGGTAAGGGTTCCTAAATGAAGGTCCGGACGTAGGTCTGCAGTGTACCTGCTGCATTTGTTCCGTGATTGTCCGTGGACCTGTAGATTTTGTTTTTTTTTCTGAGTGCGCGCCTGTGTGCTTTTTTTTTTCTGAGTGCGCGCGCACCTGTGTGCTGCGTCAAGTTGCATACGTACTTATTGTGCTCAACATGAAAACAGTGGTGGCCGTTCCAGTTTCATAACCAAAAACAACTTGACCAAGATCGTAAGCATGACACGTGATGCAAATGGTAGTAGTGTAAACACAATGGGTGGGTGTGCACATGCACAGATCAAACTGAGCGAAGTGGTGGAAAGGTTAATTGGGCCAAGAAGATTCACTACACGCTAACCGTAGGTCCCGAACACACCAAAAGTCCATCGAAACTACCAGTTTATTAAACAATGTTCCCAATGTGTCCACGAAACGATACATCCCATATTCCTTGGAGAATAGACCACAGCGACAGAAGAAAGCTTGAGTATCCTCCGAGAGAAAAACGCCCGGAGAGTTGCGGAAACAACATAAGTCGACACACATGAACTCCGTTCCAGTGTTTATTCGAAGGGCAGCGATGGACATAATAAATAGGAATACGCTCCATAGTACTCGGGAAGTGTTCGGTGAGCGTCCAAGGACCGACCACTGCTTGTTCAAATTCAGCGGTCAATGAAGCACGGCTAATAGTGCTTACTGGGTAACTGAGATCTGAATTCACCTTCCGTTTTATTCGCTGAAAACTTTCACAACTAGTTGGATGAGGGTCGCTTGGATCAGAGATATTCCTGGCCAGTGGTTTTATCAGCTGGCACAATGCTGGTCTACTAGAATTAATTTGACCTGGCAACTCCACAGATTATCACTGTGATTTTATTGATCTGGGTACAATTACGGTGTCTCTAAAGTTGTCAATGTTTTGGGGATTGATCAAGTCACCGCGAGGTGACTCAACGCGCTTCACATTAGACGTTTTGAAGAAAATAGTCTAAGGCATCTTTCAAAAATCTAATCTGCGGTTGAAATCCGACCCCAGCATTTGTTCCCATCTAGTTTTGGAGAAATGCCGACCTCCTGAGCCCTCAGTCCTTCTGGGTTGCAGTGCACTGGTGGATTACTAGGGAATAACCGTTGGGCGTTTCAGCGCCTTCGCAATCATGAAGAGAAAAGAAAGCGTTCAGCTGTAACACCCTTTCGGTAGCTAGCTGCCATGCAACCCGAAGAAAGCACAGGTTGCCCAAGCCTAGACAGGGGAAGTCGAGAAGCAAAGCGGGTCGGGTTCGAAGCACGGACCTTCTGGTCAGTAAATTTGCGCTCTACCCACTTGCGCCATCTCGCCTTCACAATCACAGTTAGCAAGGCGCTTCGGTACTGTATCTCAACTCGAATTTATCATAAAAACGTTTTCGAACTGGAGGGAAGGCAGTCTAGCGTCTTATTACTCTATTCACAATGCCTGTGTAGTCTTCCAGCAATGCTGTCCTGGGTTTCTTGGCCGCTTAATGATAATAGTCATGCTTACTAACACCAAATAAGTAGCGAAGTATTTGGACGTTTCAGAAGGACAATGGCACGCTCAATGTCTATCAGTGATTGCTTAGTGATTGATTTCAGTCTCAAAATAGTGACCAACGTCCCAGAAGACGAGGATGCGCTTTCTTGTGTAAAGTTCACGGATTGATCAGTTATCGTTGTCTATCGCTAGTCATCCCATAGCGTCCTTTTTTCTACGTATGACCAGTCAGGACGTTTGAGGATTTTATCACCCCAGTGTATGTTGTGCATGCGCTCGGCACCGAGTTTGGATACTGTGTGCGCGCACTGGAGATGCCTCTTCTTATGGTGACGAAATGTTTGCAAATCAATTGCCAAGCTCGGCGAACAGATCAACAGCCACTTGATCAATCACAAACTAATGCACCTGAGCTAACAATAATAATTTTACTTCAGTAGTATCGGTGTTATCACATGTTGGTATGTTGAAACCTGCAATGTACCAACTACAGTGGACGCTCTCATGACAGTGTTAAACAGATTGAACAAATGGCCTCGTGTTTACTTTTTCACACAGGCGCACCTTTGGTTAGGTAGAGATTCTTACAATATGTCTTGTTCCAATGTATTAATTCTACGTATATTTACTGGAGCTTCAGCGTGACCGCATCTTGTTATGTGTTGCGGATCGATAAACTTTCAGAAAGACTGTGATTTGAACCCTGAGATATGAAACATGATGTAGTGTTTCAATGATAACGATGGTTCAACAGTTAAGCAGTCGTGTGAGGTTTTCTCTACGGAATATTGGTGCCATATTCCCCTCCAGATTACCGTAATCCCCCGCGTTTTCAGATGAACAGTGACCACTTATGATCACCCAGATATACGATCTGGACTTTGATTCATTCTTCGCGCAGTTCATACCCCTCAGAAAATACCCTGGGGAGAATGACAGTCACAGAGTCTTCGAAAGGTCGTGCGCAAAACTGGCAATTCCACTCCTGACAGATGAGATCCTACGTCAGGTCTGCCTGACGGTCATCTTGAAGCTAAGTCCATACGCAGGATCTGATTCGCGCAAACGCGATCGATATTCGTTGTGTGTTAAGGATTCCCAGCCACCAAGAGGCTTTTCAGGAATACTTGATTAACGTGAAGGATTAAATTTAAGGTCTCGTATCACATTTACGGGCCTTTGCTTCGAGTTCGTACGGCAGTGAAGCGTCAGTGTGAACACTGATGTTACTGACTTTGATGATGATGATGATGATGTTTCGAGTTGATTTGGATAAATTCTACAGAGCAATATTTCGAGGTGGATTATGATGAAAATGAAGCCTATGTGAAGGCACCACATTTGATTGTGTTCACAGCATTTAACACCGATCTCTGAAGGAAACAAAACCCACAAAATTTCCATTCAGACCAGGGGCTTCCTGTGGGCCTGATATCCCTCCCGAATCATCTCTCTGTTCTTCACCAGGGAACCTCTCTCCTTTGTGCTAGAAACATTACCCATTGGGAGAAGGCTAGCCAATCTTTGCCTGTTTTTCAGTATGTAGATCGTGGAGAGGAATAATGCAGGAAATTTGAACAGCCGGTTTAGGTTGACGCCTGAAACATCAGTATCGATGGAATACACACAAGCCGCAGGTGTCCTCACCATCCAACGTAAAAGTCGCGTACCTAACGTGCAATAGTTTAGCTGCCCCAGTTTCGTTCGCCGTTCATTTGAACAGGTACAGTTTATAGCTACAGTCTGCGGTTTTTGATAGAGGAGCCCAACCTGCGAATAAGGCAGTTTGTGCTAACACTCACCTTGTCAAAAGGCACCTTTAACCAACTACAATCTATTTCCCATTATATTATCTTCCTACGTGCGTGGAATTGAGAATGCCCGCCTAGTCTGAACCAACACCCCCTAGGCTAGGTTAGAGCGACACCGGGATCGAATCTCGTTTACCTGTGATGAGTGCGTGCACGTTTGCACTTAATGTATACAGGCACAAGTTTGGGCTAGACGTGAAAATCGGAGAATCATTAGATTTTCCATCGCAGCTTCACATGTTACAAAATTCCTCACGAAGTCGCTTTACTAAACTTTGCTTTGGAATTGTTCGGTATGTATGAAAGTCGAGTAGAGAATTGTGCCAACATGGCAAACAGAATCCGGCATTTTGAATAGAAATGTTGTGGGATGTCACCTTCCAAGAATTGGAAAAGGGTGGGCCTAGCTGATCGCCGATTTAAAAGACAAAGGAGTTTAATCGCGTCCAGCAATCGTCACTTAAAGCCATGTAAGTTGAAAACGCGTGTCTAGAGCTGGATTGCTCTATTCATGTGGTATGCTGTGGCAGTGCAAAGAAGTTCAACGAATTGTGTAGTTACAAAAGCCGATGACTTATCCATAAAAACTCATCGACAGCCCACTACTGGTTTCGCTTTGCTCCCGGTTCATCAAATGATTGCAGTACCCGAGTTTCTGTCGGCTTTGTGGTCTACTCTGTTATATCTGCTGGTTCGCCAATCTGTGGTATCTGCCGCTGACCCGCTCCAGTGCCTAGTGTCGAAGAGAAAAGACTCACAGAAGGGAACACAACAGCCGTATTCCGAACAAGCGAGTGAGTGAGAGAGCAAAAGTTACAACGGCCTCACGGTCCTACTTAAAGGAGACCTTCTGACATTGATCCAGGTTGTCTGATAGGCGTTAGTGATCACCCATCAACATCGATCGTGCCTCTGTGAAATGCCTGAACGCTGATCACATTCGGTCGTGCTTCTGTGGCTGCAAGAACACTCATCAGGTCTTGCTGAATGATTGATTGTCCTGGGTGCTTGCCGGCTTTCCAGTTGAGTTTTTGCTGGATCAGTAGGTTCCGGGCGTTCCGGAGTTGCTTTCAGGAATCTGACCTTCCTGATATACGCGAACATGTATTCGATTAACGCATAGACTGAAATAAAGATCACTGGACTATCTCGGATATCGTACCAACCGGAAAGCGGGACAGTTTTGTGCAGTACATTCAGAGGGGGAATGCCAAAAACACGAAGGCAGTTTACAATTTTAGGCTGATAAGATATGATTGGTTTGGAACAATGCACCAGTGGTTATGCTTACAATAGAGATATCACGTCGTCAAATCGATTGACAGCTTATCCACACGTCAGTGGCCCTAACGAGCTTCCTGTATGCATTCCAAAGTGGGCCAGACCCCGAAGTCTTGCAAGTATCCGATGAGATGTCTAGGTGTATGGGTGTGGTGTAGAGCCAGCTTTCTTCGAAGCTCATCCTTCTGCCAAGAGACAAATTGTCGAACCTGGTCCAACTCATGCGCTTTCTTTTTTTCTCGTTACATCTACTTGGACGTCCGAATTTACCGCCCAACGAGTCCTCTTCTCACTTGGAAAGCTGTTGATTTTCCAGACTCTAAAATGGCATTTATTGGGAGAACATCCAACTGTGACAATTATGCATGAAACTTTTTTAAACTTGGTTCATCTGGCGCTAGTTGCAAGGTTTTTGACAAATCTCCCATAACGCAACATCATCTCCTTAGTTGCGAACAATTACTTACATCCGCGGTTTTGGACTTCCTTCATACACAGTTAGAACAATTAAAACAAAGCGTTTTTTTCCGCAGAACTGTTGAGTGTTTGTTCCAGTTGGCTGTCACTTTGGTAACTGATTCACGCATACAATGAAAATGAGCTTCTCGGGGCTTCCTGCAAACAGTCTTTTAGCTGCACACGTTCCAAATGCTTTGCCTAGGTGGCCGTAAGTTGCAAGACACGAGCTGGTATTAGTACACAATGAGCAAGGTTTTCAGGTTGTTTATACCGTGTTTTTTTCACACGGTCTTTCGTTTTATTCATGTTCTTTACGGTCACTAGATAAACAGGTGGAGAACCCTTCAGTTCATATTGCGATAGTGGTTTTTACGAAAAAAATGGTGATCACAGGCTGCACTAGGACACCGCAAATCTTTTCTTCAACTGAGATGAATGAAAGGTGCGTGTAAAACTATCAACTCCTATTGCATCTGAGATTAGTGTAAACTAAAGGAACGAAGGAATTTGGAGTGTCGACCTTGAACGACCGCCTCGTTTTATGGGGTTGCTCCGCTATTCGTAGGTACAAATTTATCCAAATGCTTGTTCAGCGTTCCAAAGGCAACGCAGCGTAGTACGATGGCTCTTTCTGTGTGATTTTACGTCGTAGGCTTGTATTGGCTTGTGTTNCCAAAAGCATGGTATCCCTTCGGGAGAGCGACTGCCACCGGAAAGACGCTATTGACCATTCCTAGCAGAGGACGGCGGTCCTCGTGGGAGAGGCAACGTACCAGGCTGCGGGAAGATCGCACACAAATGTGAGAGATTTCTGAAATATTTTTTACACAACAGAATCAGTAGTCTCTGATCGAGCTGATGCCCTGCTAAATCCAGTAATAACGCAGATTTCTACATTCGAATACAATCTTAGGTTATTTTTCCGAAAACTCATCGCACACAAATGTGAGAGATTTCTGAAATATTTTTTACACAACAGAATCAGTAGTCTCTGATCGAGCTGATGCCCTGCTAAATCCAGTAATAACGCAGATTTCTACATTCGAATACAATCTTAGGTTATTTTTTCACACCGAAAACTCAGTAACTTTTCAAATGACCAAGTAATAACTTTTTCATCTCGTTGAATTCCATACTCTTGACCAAATTCTTATTCATGCAAGCGAGTTTTCTCGATCTGAAATAGCTTTCAAAACCAACGAAATGTTTCGAGTTGGTAAATCCACCTCCAAAAAATAATTGTCACTCAGAAATCTGCCGCCATCTGCTGTCCAGGCCGTCACGTCACCGCGATGTTATTAAAAATCACTGTCCGTATCTTCGGGTTTATACCAGCAGAAGTGTGATGTATTTGAATTCAACGTTGACGTGAAAGATCGCTCACACGCATCCCGTTTTCTGATGTATTGGTACAAAGCGAACAAAACCATATGGAATTGAACTGGTTGCATATCCTACGCATGTCTAACTAGTGTCTACCAATACAAGTGGTTCTTTCGCTTCAAAAGACCCGGCGATAAGGATGTCGCTGCTAGCCGGAAATGGGAGCGGCCACGTAGACAGCATGATTGTTATGCAGGAATTCTGAAAACCGAGTACTGTAGGATCGGTGAATCAACTTGTATGCCATTGGAGGCCTCGGAAGATGTGGTGAGTGACAGTTCAAGTCCAGCAATATGTCGCCACTGCTTCCTGGCTGGATTTCACACTACCGTTTGTTCATCTACGCTTTTTAAGTATTTATTTGGCAAAGTTACAAAATGGATGACGTTGTCTAACCATGATGTAATTCTCAGGTATATTTACTTTGATGGCGTCCAGTGGTGTGGGCATTGTCTCCTTAGTTCCTTGTCCTATGGAGTTCGGGCAGCGTGCAGAACAAAGGTCCTTAAACTATACTGAGTGTTGGCCATAACCAGTCATATCGTGATTGATTTGTGAATCAAAGAAACAAACGAACACCATTGATGAGGGGGACCTCGAACTGAATGCCATCGTTTGCTCTGTAAGGCCTTGCTTAGCTCCAATATGGCCGACGGTAATTCGGACTTGAGTTGGCATTTGTTCAACGAATTAAATCGGGCTGCAAAACAAACTCACTTAGGTGGAAACATATCATGGAGGGCTGTGTCTACCGGATGAAACCCGTTGCTCAAGGGTCTTCAGCAACCTTATAAGTACTCTGTTGTGTCATGTTTCGGAAATGGGCCGAATACTACGCAGTTTACACTATCAAGTTGTGGGAATTCTATGAATATGCGGGCACAAAAAAGCTATTTGCCAGCTGGGAATGTACGGCGTAGAGCAAGTTAGCAAACTCACTCAAATCGGTCTACCAAGATCTAGTATAGGACTGAACAGATTGAAAGTTACGCGCTGCATTGGAGAACCAGCGTTCTTCTCTCTTGTTGGTGTCACGATGAACGCATAGGTCAGTATGGCTCAGACAGCGAGAGCTTCAACAGGACAACAAAGATAGCATCGGTGTCATATTAGCTCAGAACACAATGCTATCCAGAAAGAAAGTGCTGACATTCTCGGGGCACTCAGATGCACTCAGATTGCGTGAAATTGAACACAAATTTTGAAAATCATTAGATCGATTGCCGCATAGAAAATTACTGCAGGGGTCACCTGATTTTACACAGGCTATGCGATTAACACATGCAGCGGAAGAAACGTTTGGCAAGTAAAAATGAACAAACAAGCAGCGCCTCTACACAATTTCCAGATTAACTCAGTTTTCTTCGGGTTCGACCACGTGGCCCATAAACACAGGCAGAGTTGATTTGTATATCACAGCCAGAAAGAATGGATGATTCACGTCAAATTCCGGTGTACGTGTTCTCGTGGAAGCGATCATTCCTGTTGCAGCTGCAGCGGTAACTCCCTCCTCGTCAACCTGTGAAAAAGAAAGGAAGGTATACGATTGCATTTCAGTCGCGTTTTCACTGGAGACTCAACTAAATCTCTTGAGTTCAAATTTGAGTTATCTTATGAGGGCAACTGCCGGAAAAAGTAAATCATGGCTAGAGACATTGTCAGACATGGCCCAGTCGCGTCCTCAATGGCACTCGTGCATCCAAGCTATTGCCCTGAATGCATAGCTCTTTTTCCAACCAGCCCCCACTCCACTTGACAGCCCACTAACAGTGCTGGATTTATCCATCAAATTATCAGCTCCCGCCTCCAATGCGCAGCAAACTCCACCTCCCCCAAATCATCGGTGAACGAAACTGCGGCAGCTACAACCACTGTACGACGAGTACGCGGTTATTACAGCTGACAATGATGATGATGATGATGGGCTGGAGTAAACGGAAATCGCATCATCATCATCATCATCATCATCATCATCATCATCATCATCATCATCATCATCATCATCGACAGCATGACATCAGTGTTCAACACCGATGCTTCACTGCCGTACAACCATGACTTATTTCAAAGCCTTATTGTAAAGAAAAGAATAAAGTGGATGGGGAAGGGACTTAGTGCTAGCTTAACACAATCATTCCGAGGTGCCTACACCTCCAGACATTCACTCAGGCAATCTGGATAGAAACTGACAACAAGAACGCCAATGACATCGGTTGGCAGCCATGCTTTTGTTTGAGTGGTCTTACTGAGTAGTCTGATACTTCCTGTCAATTAAGCTGGTCCTTCTGCTTCTAAAATTGCATGGAGATCTAAAGGGTTCCAACTTATACACTCATCTGCATTTGAATTTGTTTCTGACGGGAGACTCACCTGAAACTCAGCTGAATCTCTCTTTTATGATATGCAATGTGGGTTCAAGTAGAACACAAGGTTGACGGAAAATCATGCACCGCTTCTTTTTGATGAGTTCCTGAAAGAGCGAAACTGGTAGGGCGCTGTTGAAGAGTTTTCTGCAACCTTATGAGTAGCGTATTACGTCTATACGGGATAGTTCCATTTTTGTGGTTTAGTTTGAGGCGCGTTTGTCTCTTGCTGATAAGTCTATCTTTGGAAGTTAGGTCTTTCACAAAGATATCATCTTGACTAGTCCATTGAGGCTTGCACTAACTTGCAGAGTACGAATACTATACAATTGAAATTGAACCCACTGTAATGTTGTAAGTACAAGTCAGACAGCGCGCAAGCGTGAATAGCGTGCAAGACACTCCAGTTTTGGAATTTGTTGTAAGGACTTATGGCATGATGGCAGGTAAACAAAGCTGAACAAGCTTAGAGCCTACTTAGAATATCAGGCATTCTTTTTGTCTAATCAAACGCGGGAGGGTAATGGCGCCGAGAAGTGGAGGAAATAGAACTGTTTAAAGGCTGTTGCATGATGTAAAACTGAGACAGTTCTTGAGGTACCACGACAACTTCAAGTACTCAATCCAGTGGTACCCTATTGAACAGAAGTGGAGGAAATAGAACTGTTTAAAGGTTGTTGCATGATGTGAAACTCAGACGGTGCTTGAAGTACCACGGCAACTTCAAGTACTGAATCCAGTGGTTCCCCACTGAAGTATGGGAAAGGACAGCTACTGATTGGTGGAAATTGTACTCGGTTGGCAACATTTGCAGGGTAGTGGGGAAGTTCAAAGTACCAATCAGGTTGTAACTTACTACTCATAAGGTTGCTGAAAACTCTTCGACGGCCCACGACCGGTTTCACCCTTTTTGGAGCTCATCAGGTAGGCGCAGTCCCCAGGTTTCCGTCAACCTTATGTTCTACTTGAACCCGAATTGCACGAAATTAGCGAATATACACTCATTTGCAAACTAACTTGGTTTTTCGAGAGACTCGCCTGGAACCCAGCTGAATCTCTCGTTTGTGATGTTCTCAGGCAATCAGGTTCATTGCCGTCTCCTTAGGCGGTTGCCGCAGGTTCTTGAGTAGAAATATACCCAAAAGATTTCGGGGAATAACGACATCAGTCCAAAGTCTATAGTGCCAACCATGACGCTTATTGGACGAGTCTTCAAAAAGACTCTGTTCGCAGGGAAGGTTTAATCCTTTTCTCTTTTGATCAATTCTTCTGTGGTGGAACTTCGTTTCATCAACCAGGTCGGTTGCTATCAATTTTTAACCTCTGACTTTTACTGAGTTTATCTGAGTGGGTAATTTAGTTGGTAGGTTTGTTACAAAACTATCAAGTACTTCTGTCTAACGACGCCTTTTAGGTAACAAGGTCAGCCTTGACGGGAATTGGTGTCAAACGTACTGACTCCAGGTTCTGATACGATTTTTTTTCACAGAGTTAAGCAATTTATGAATAGGAGTCAGGGAAGTGAATGCTCAATCTCAGAATTCGATTCAGTCAACTTTCTCCAAAGTAATGTGACGAGAATAGAAATAATTCGATTAAAAGTCCAGAAAATGAACCTTGGGATGGAGTGGGGTTAGAAGACTTTCTCCCAGAAAACCATCGATTGGATTTCCATCTCCTGGCAACAGCAGAATGACTAGGGGTCTGAGGTCAGAGGTCTTGTATAATTCCGTTGGAGTGATTCGCTGGGAACGTTCTAGCAAGAAGTTAAACACGGGAAATATGTATTCTGTATTCTAAGTGTTCTAGTGGTATTTATGATGAAACCTACTTGAGAGAATATGAGAGTAACTCAGTAACCGTTTGAGGATAGTAACCTGGCACCTTCTATTTATTGCTTATACAAACACTACAAATGGAGCACTCACCTCAATGACGGCCTTATGCAGAATATCCGAAATGGCTATTCCACGCTGATCAGTCATTTGAGATAAGTCTGCTTCAGATGAGTCGAACAAAGCTGTGAGTCCGCAAGCTTTGAGTAAATTTTTCACGTCAGTTGTTGGCAGTTCGGCCAGTTTGAATCTTGGGAGTCTGACGATCACTCTTGTGTCCCGGAAATCTTGCTGCAGAATGGAACGCAACTTTCCCGGCTGCTTTAGCTTGTCCAGAACTGCTGGAAGACCACTGGTCCAGTAGGGCAGAATGATTAGCATGTCATATCTGAAATGGAGTGTGCCGCAAAACCAACAGTCAAGCCAAAAACGCCCCATGCAGCCAATGAGTTACTCTGTTTAAGCATGCGGTTCTGACGGCCGGCATAGAAATGTGCCATACGGAACAGAAACGATAACAGGGTAAAATTTGTGTGGGCGAGAATATGTTTGACAAAAATGGCTTCGCGACACATAACCATGGGAGGTTATGAAAAAAATGTCCTTTTGAAGTCAACTTTTTTCCAAAAAAGAACGCGGTCACATCAGACTTTTTTGGGTTTGTTCCAACGGAATTCTCCTTGGTTAGGGGGTACGCTGTGCGTGTGTGTGAAACTTAACAAACAAAGCTACAAACCAAGGGAAACATCATCTGGACTGCCTTTTTGTTCACAGTCAAGTTTTCGTTAGTACTCGCGACTTAGCCATCCGGCAAGCAGACTCAGCAGTAGGCTGTAAGCCAAGGAGCAGTCATCCGGCAAATGCGCAAGCGTATGGGATAATCAGTCATCAGTCAGTCAGGCCAATTCGCGAATGAAGGAGTCTTAGATTGCCCGAACACTCACCTAACGAAGGGGGTTTTCTATCAGTGAAGCCACAAGTCTTGTTCGGCTTAGCTTGGCGGATATCCGCTCGACATACAGGCGATGTTCCATAAATCAAATGATCACACTAAGAGTCATAGCGGTGCTGGAGTTATTTTCCAAAAGGGATTTAGTCCTACCAGTGAAATAGTCTATGATGGAAAGCCGAGAAGCACAGTACAGTTGTTTCATACTTGTTAGGATTTAGCAGCGGCGAGTATTTCACGAAACTCAGAGTTTCAAATTTGTGACCTTCCGCTTAGTGTTTGGGCACTTGGGCGTTTGGCCACGAGTGGATGATCAGCACTGATTAGGTCTCACAGCGTCAATCATTCTTCAATAACGGAAACCACATTACGTGGTCACGTGTTGACTACCACCAGAGTGATGAATTCTCACAAGGAAGTTTCACTCATCTTGTGAACTTATGCGTCTAAGCTACTTATCGATTGATGATGGTGGCAGATAATTTTGAACGGAGATTTCGTCCAATCAGTAAAGCCAGTCAGTGCGGAAACTCGCGGGGGGAACATCAGCATTGCGCGTATCACAAAAATGCGGGGGTTCTCGAAACTCCGATTCCTCGACCACGAGCGGCTGACCAGCACTTCAATTAACTAGCATTTAGCTTAACTACAAGCGGTTAATCGAAAGTTGAATAATTCCTTATATATTATATTATGTATCATATTATGTTATGTATTATTATGTTATTATTATTATGTTATGTATGTATTACATGTACAATATATATGCGTACAAATATATATTCGTGCAGGTATTCAGCTGTCAGGCGGTGTACCTTACTCCATTGATGAGTACTATCCAGTGACCCACTAAAGGAACTGATTTTCACGAGGCAAAGCTTATTCCTCTACTAATTAAAACACCTCCAAACAACAGCTCTTGACACCCATTTAGAAACGAAACAAGTATGTGGGCAACCCGCAAAGCAAAGAAGAAACATGGTACTTGTGGAAAGGTCAACAGATTCAACTCTATTAATTTAAGAATGGAAACTAAATCGATGAAATCTTTACCTTTGCGCTGCTGGCACTTATGGACAAAAAAGATGTGCTGGGTTTGACGAGTAGAACTCACAAGGTAAATGACCTTTTTTACAGGTGTCTGGCTCAATAAATAGGTGGAGTGTGACATTGTTCTGCGGTCACTTTTATCTTCTTAACACGCACTTTCAGGGATGGTTTTTATTCGACGGGTGCTGTTCGGCTGGACACATGAGTCAGGTGTAGCCTTCGCACCGGTTGGAGTGAAGTACGTCCCTCATCAGACGTGTGTAAGTCACGTGATCAAACCGTGAACAACCCCAAGGATAGAAACCTAGAAAAAGTACAATCCTGCGAACTGGATGATTGAATAAAATGTTGATCATATTTTAAAACAAAGAAACTCAGAATGTCTTCCAGGAGTCACTGGTTGAAATCCACGTGACTACTTTAGTAGGAGTGAACCTTTGGTACTTTATCGTGCATTGAACGAAGGCCATCGGTGCATTGGTATAACTCAAACCCAACAGTGGTTCGGAAAATATCTTTGCTTTCCGAATGTGAACATAATCAGATGTCTCCTTGGAAAAAAAGAACAATGCCAAGACCGGTGATGTCAGCGAGATGGGCAGCTGAAACCTGGACCAAAGCTGCAAAAGCTGAATAGTGAATGTTTGACTTGATGGCTCCAGCTAGTGGAACCAACAAGACATCGGTATTGTCACCGACATGACCGCTTGAACAAATACAGTTTTAGGCTGCCGTGAAGTTGACTCATTCTCAAGCAGGACATGGCTGAAGTAAGACGCCTTGAAAAACGTTGGTATAATCAGCCCGAACTTCGGAGTTTGCCTTCGTGGCACATTGACAGCCACGTCCAGTTCACTGAAGTTTGCGATTTGGGGTCAGAATGCCCAGTTAATCTGTGACTTATGCGATTCATTCATGTCTGTAAATTCATAAATGGTATAGTGATGCACAATGGTCTCCTGAACATCTATTTCTCCACCAGCCATAACACAATTTTCAAGTGCACTTAAAGACTGTTCGGAGTCTGACGAATTGTTCTTGTGAAGAATGGTACCGTCGTGGATACGGGATTTAAGAGTGGAATTCCCGTAGCTTACAAAAATGACTGATGTACAACAGACAGTAAAGAATAAGGCTTTTCGATTACTATTTATCTTTAATTCATTGTTTGCTGAGAATTTGTCATGGGCGCAAACTCCCAACGTGGCTGGATCCTCTCTGAGCTACTCATATATGCATCGTCGTAAGACAATAACGGCCTGGGTCTGAAGCTTCAGCTATGTGGACTGTATTCACCTAGTTCCATTAATCTATCGTTTAATCAAAGTCAGGTGCACCTTCGATGTGCCAGACGGATTGTGGTTCAACTGACCGGTGAGAGGATTCTAATATTACCAAGCCAAAAGCGCAGGTGTGTGCCTCACAAGAAGTAATCTACACTTCCATGCGGCATCGATGACTGTGACCCGCTTACCGGGGCTTCACATCTCCTGTCATATAATGAACGCACTGCAGGATACTGCTGATAGCCAAGATGGTGTTGACCCACAATGAAGAACTCAAAGTAAGGACATTATCAATCTGAGACAAAAATTGCCTTTTTTTGCTGCGGTTGAATTGATGAAAGGCCCCTAACAATGACGATTTTTGAAACACCTGTGATAGACAACAGTTTCCACTTACACAATGAACTTTTTGCGAATCTGTTATTGGAATAGGCAATAATTGGGAATATCGATCAATTGTGCTGCGCAGATGAACTGCGCAGGTGAGCAGAGAGCTGTCAAGATCGTACTTCCTAAGAAGCAAAGGGATTTGAATAAATTTCAGAAAGCCTGAATAATAACTGTTATCATTAAATTAGATGAAACTTTGCTAGTAGAATAGAAGCCCTGAATTCTAATCTCACTTGACCAAAGTACTACCTCTACCGGCGCTTGTGACCTTGAAGTTACCATCTGCATGTTGATTATACAGACGCAAGGTCGTTTTAAGTTCGCCTCAGCCTGCTGTGTACTTTATTAAGAGTGCGCACACCGCCGCTAACAAAGCAAAAATCTACGGTCCTCAATTTGCTGACGTTTGATAGAACGTTATGGAGAAATAAGGAATCGAAAACACGGTTTTAGTTCACATCCTGGGGCAAAAACATGAAAAGTGCTCAGATGTTGAGGCATCTATATGAACTATAGTTCATTTTGATTTTCCACATGCATGTACGGCATAACTTCAAGCGATTTAGTACGCAATATTTTTAGCCTACATTAAACAATACAGTCTTTTTGAACGCGTTTGACATTGTTCTGTTTCCGTAATCTCTTGTCATTCATATTCAAAGGCATACGCTAAATTTTAGTGGATAGAATGTCGGCTGTTTCCCAATCTACTTACAGACTGTGAGTAAACGGAAGCTTGATTGCTTGTGCATTCATATCCTCAAGTTGCAACGTTGGATAATGTCCCACGATGTTCATCATTGGAACTCTCTTCACTGTTCCGTCAAGCCTGTGGAAATCCTCTTCTGTGGTTTTTGTTTTATCGAACGGATACTTCCACAGGCCTAAAATACAGGACTACGGACGGTTACCAGGCTTACCTCGAAAATAAAGTGCATTGATTAGGGCCAAGACGGAGTCTTCTGTAAGTACATTATCTGGGATGAGTTCTGGAATTTTGCCCATGGTTTGATTGGAGACCCATCGATTAATTTTTCTTAATTTGCCGTTCAAACTAAGGCTTCGAGCAATCTTTTGTGGGAAAAAACAATGTAGGGACAAATTAAACTTGGACAAAAACTCACGGATTTTGTGTCCGTTTTATAAAATATCTTGATGGTGGTTTTGTAGGAGGGAATTATTGGTGTAGGCTGTAGAATGTATAATCGACTGGCCTGCATGATATCGACTCCTGTGCTATTCAAAAATGGTTCTGTTAGTTGTGATCCAAAGTATGCGGGAATTTCACTGTTAGCAAAGTGGGCAGGGATGTGTAGAAACGTTCTCATTTGCTGAAGCGTGCTTTGGGCTACCCCAGCCATTGTTATGAGACAAGCAAAATAGATACTTAGTGGCGATAAAAACGTATTCATCGGGTTGCCTTTCAAAGTTTGGTGAAAACAAGAGATTTACCTGCTTGCTGCTGAATAACTTGCGCATAAAAGTCTGACGCAAATTGTCCGACACTGCCGTAGATCTCCAGCTGGTCTGCCATGATGATGTGATGTTGTTGCTTGAGAGAGAGAGAGAGTGTACCAGCGGTGTACAGGACAGCATTTGTTCTCGTCGCTAAAATACTCCACTGCAGCGGCGTTTCCATCGCGATATGATTGGTTGAGTGGCAGATGACCTTGAAACCATCTGCAGTGAGCAATAGTGATTTAAAAGGGCTAGGTGTGGAATACAACATTGCATGCAAAGCACAACCGAGTGCAAGTGAAAACCGATTAAGGTCAGTTTAAGGCGAGTGTAGAAAATCAACGCGCACACACGTTTATGGTTTTTCTCTCCACCTACTGAATCACTAATTTCAACCCATCCATCACGCCCAGCAAGCTTTGCACAGATGAATGGTGTGTCGGTCAAAAGTCCGAGAGAGAGAAAGGGAGAGAGGGAAACATGACCCCTTTCTCAAGGCAATAGAAATGGGGAATTGTCTTGATGAACCAGCCACTGTCCCGATTACCGTCCATGAAGAAGCCAGAAAGGTTATCGGTAAGTGCTCTGATTATTCGACCGACCGCGATTTCGCCACCTGGTTTTAGCACATGAGATCAAAAAACAAAAATCCTGAACTGAGGCTCTTTCTTCAGACTTTGTAAACAGTAAACCAGGTCACACGATTCAGCCTCACTAAAAATCAGTTTTTACTTTCATTGTTCCAGGTTATATGACTTGAATGTGGTTCTCCTATGCGCTTCATTGTGTTTCAAACGCATAAGACCTCCGGAACAACTACTGGAAATGTATGAAGTCAAGATGAATTGGGTTTTTTCATCTCATGGGCCAGTATCTAGTATTCCTTTAGATGCTTTACGCATGAACATCTACTCTGTCATGTCACATAGAGTTCGCGGTCAAGCGTGGATTTGTAGTGTCTGTAATCCGTTGTTACATTTACCATTCTTCCCGAACTTAAATCACACTTTGCAATTGTCGTTCACGTTGTATCATGACGTTTGTTTTAATGTTACGAATACACAATTTTCCGGTGCGACCTGCTGACTTCTTGCTGAACGAGTGTATTTACGCTCCATTGAACTGTTTGTTGACTGCTGAACCAGTGGGACTAAATCTCTGTGTTTGTGTCAACTGTTGAACGTCACAATAAATCCCTGTGACATTTTTTAGCCGTGAATAATTTTCCTACCGTGGAATATATCACGCACGCGGAACCATCTGTGGGAAATTCCGACAAGTGAATATTTCCTTTCACAGCCAGTTACTGCATTTGGATCGGTGTAGTGGACTATTGGATCTACACATTCGTGAGTCCCCATTTGACTACTCGTTCTTATCCTATTGTGATTTTGTGATTTTGTATTGGTTACTTTGCTTGTTAATTTATCCGAACACGCTGATAAGGTCCTGGTCCGCTACAGATTCTCCTGGAATATTGGAACAGAAGGAATGTGCTGTCCAGAGATGGCTTAGGGATAGAACAAGTAGTAAGTTTTCGAGAAATACACTCATTTGCAAATCAATTTGGTTTTCACGAGAGACTCAACTGAATCTCTCGTTCATAATATTCTACAACTGAAAGTGCTGCACACAGGCCGCCTCATGTTTCAGTTGGGACGATATTCGAGATATCGCAGTATATTTTCATAAAGGAAACTACTCATAAAGTTGCGGTCGAAGAGTTTTCAGCAACCTTGTGGGTAGTTTCCTTTACGAAAACGTAGTAGCTTTGTTACAAATACGCTGTCGTGAGGTGTGAATTCAGATCACCGATCAAGATGCCGTGGAATTCTTTACAGACGACAAGTGGAGATTCTACCTGAGAAGTGGTCACTCGAGGAACAAATCTACACTTGCGACCGTGTGATATCGACACTTGTGACTGAAGGATGAGTGGTATTTCATCCTGTCTAAGTACGAGTTAATCGCACTGCTGATCGGCCTCCTCTGGCCGACCGGTTAAACGTTCAGCGGGGAAGTCATGGATTCGAATCTTCCACGAGTTGCGTGAGATGTGCACTGTTGATGATTCCTCGTCAGTGTCGAGCATTGCTGTGCGGCTTGTCAGCTTTACTTACAAGACGAAATCTTGAGTAAAAGCAAGTTTATATGTCCTATGGAAACCTCAGCTGAATACAGGCGGATCGGGTTCGAACTTGTGGCAGGCGCCGAAAATAGTCTCATGGAGGTACATGTTTTCAAGGAGGACGATAGGGCTCTGTCCTGATACTCTGGTCAATCCAATTTCTATGGAAATGTCAGCTGTCCCAAAAGAGGAACTGGGTTTTTTTCGGGCTCTCTTTGTCACATTTTTTTGTCTTTGCAGCAACGGTCGACACAACATTATTCGTTGGAAGTACTCTGTGACCACACACACACCTGTTGGGTAGTATCACGGAATTTGCCACGCATTGTCTCCCCAAGTGAGTTTGAAGTAGGAACCATCACCAGACGTTCCATGTGGGTTGTTTATTGTTTGTATCAATGTTGTAACCATGGTAACAACCCATGGTAAAGATGTTGGTTTTCCTTCTCTCTGACGACTTTATCCGCAACCTTTTTGTCTCTCATATGACCTTGTGAATTTGTACGACACTATCGGGTGTCATACTGTTCCTCGTTTTGTGGTACAGCTAGCTCTTCGAAACGAGACCGTGCTGAGGGCAGGGGACACTAATTTTTAGTATTATACATAATATATAACATCGCAGTAAGATTCAGACTGACTGTTGTTGTTTGTCCTCTTCGAGATGTTATTATTAATTTTGTTTCTTTGCTTCTTTCTGAACAAAATCGATTGGTGCGAACTTTTAACCTGACGACCTTTGTTTGAGTGACATAGTACTTGAGTTTATTGCACTAAAATTTGCCTCTCTTTTGATGTCATTATAAAACATACCAGCCACAAAGCAGCAAGCTGATTGAAGTAATATTCAGGTAATGAAAGTCAGTAGTATAGGTGGTAACTAACTATAAACTAAGTCCTGTTGGGCAGGCTTATTAACTTTCATAAAAACTATGGTTAGGTGTACCATGCACTTCTAAAGAAACAAGGTTAGAGATGAATTCTTCTGAAGTTTGAACTTTGGACATCCAAAGGTGGATGCCAGATTCAAAATGGGTTCAACTTCACCTGAGTACTTTGAAGTATCAGGAAATTTTATCAACTATATGGTAGTGAATTTTGCACGACCGAAAGTCCTCTAGAGGGTGAAGGAAATTCCTGTGTTATGTTTCATGTGGCCTTTCGAGTTGCAAACTAACTTAGAAGTTCATTTCAGTTTGCTAAAATCTTTTAGCAGTTATGGCACCATACGGATTAACAAGTGCTCACGGTTTCCCATTAAAATCGACTTGGTTGATGGCACTGTGATGAGATTTAGTAATTTGCAACTGGTTTTTCCCCTGTGTATGACAGCTATCTATTCTAAATGGTCGAAAAGTGCTGTACTTTTCGAATTGAAGGTGCTACAAACCCTTTTAGTTATACGGTCTTATTTCACTCGGTGTATGCACATCACCATCATCGAAAACACAAGCATTAGTTTTGACTATTAGTGTTTTGCCATTCTGAAGGTGGTACAGAGACCAAAACGCGTTTTGGGAGACCGAGTTTCGCACGCGTAGCATGCGTCCCAATCACCGCAGCTGGATGCTTACCACGGTTGAAGTACCTCATTATCATCATCATCCTCATCCTCCTCCTCCTCCTCCTCATCATCATCATCATCAGCAGCAGCAGCAGCATCATGAGGGTCGTCATCATCATCATCATCATCATCATCTTCATCANTCATCATCATCATCTTCATGATCATCCGAATCATCATCATCGTTATCATCATCATCATCTTCAACATCATCATCATCCAAATCACCTTCATCATCATCATCATTATCATCGTCATCATCATCGTCATCACCACCATCATCATAATCGTCATCATCATCATCCTCGCCTTCTAGAACCGCTTACTCGATGTACAGTACTTCTGGCAGCCACAGTTTCGTTCGCCGATGGTTTGGGGAGATGGCGTTGAACGCTGCACATTGGAGGCGTAAGCTGATATAATGATGCGTAAAAATAGGGTTGTCAATGGACATTTAATTTGAGAGATTGGGAGCGGAGCTGTGCATTGAAGGCAATGGCTAGCGATTACTACTCAATCAACCACCCGTTTTCCAGTTACCTCATTAAGAATTCACTGATGCCTTCCGACACCAGCAACACCTCTGAGACATCGATGAAAAAACTGAATACATCTCACCTCATCCATCCACAGATGTCATGTCTCGAAACCATCCAGCCCTAGTGTACATGCCTTGTGCATGCGACGCTTAAGAGCCAGTCATGAATCATTTTTAACGTCACAAGTGGCGCAAATTAGCAAACGTGATCCCGGTCTTTCGTATTCTTGTACTGGCGTCATCAGGCCCACCTCCCTCAGAGCTGGTACAACTATCCAGGTAAGTAGAGTTCTCCATAACCTCTCATGACTCCCCTTGAATTGTTGGAGAGGGAGACTGCACATTATGAAAATGTCAGACGCATACCGAAAGATTGTATGAAGGTTGTGAATTTATTCGATAGAGCTTGTGTTGCGCCCTCGTTTTCAAAGATGACGGCACCGACGTTTACTCACTCCAGACTGACAAGGCCCTCACCAGCAATAATTTTAACACCGGGGTTTTGAAGACCTTTCAGCGTTTGTCTCATTGTTTCATCAGTGGTGAAGTTGAACAAGAATGAAGAAGATGGACATCCTTGTCACGCTTCACTTCTTGTAGGAAAGCTTTTGAAGAGCCCACCGTACACTCCCACAATTCTGGATTTATATGAATATAGGGACTAAATTATGTTCACAACCTTCTGCGGTACACTATGTTGAGAAACTGTGGTCAGTAGAACTGGCCGGTCGACAGAATCAAACGCACCCTTGAAGTCAAGGAACCCCAAGATTGTGGGTCATCTTTATATGTGGTGTTGCTCTATCACCTGACGGGCTGTGAAGTTATTGTCAACGCATTTTTTGCCCGGTCGAAATCTCGTTTGACGCTCACGAGTCAAGGAATCGCGCACTACAGTAAGGCGACAAAGAATCAGTGACGCCAGAACTCTTGTTACAACTGCAGTCAATCTCACACTTCTGTGTTTACTGCATCCAATGAGAGTCCCAGTTGTCTGGAATGTACTCTTTCTCCTAGATAGACCCAAGTAGCCTAGACAGGCATTGGATGAGGAATTCGATACCATCCTTGAACAGAGTAGGTGGAAGGTCGTCAGGACCAGCGGCACGATGCTGCTTGAGTAGGACACGTCGTAAGCTGGGGTGCGTCGTAGCTTAACCTTAAAAATCAAACTTTACCGTGGCCTTTCTGATACTGTTTTCCTCAGAAAGCAGAAAATTTCTGCGCTTGCAATGGAATCAGCCACTAGAATCATTCAAAGGACAATTTAAGATGGCTTAGAATACTTTGAAATTTTTTTTGATAGGGGCCACAAAAATCTTTTGGTATTATTTGACATGAAGAAGTAACGGGATATTTGCTTTACCCAATCCCGTATTATGTAACAATTTCTAAAAAAATGATTAATGTGAACCATCTGTCATTAAAAAACTGAGGGTTCCCCTTTAAACATTGACCAGGCCCCCCAGAATTCCTCAACACTATTCTCAAGCCCACTTCGGGTAATTGATTATGACGTTTGCGATATGCCTTATCACAGTGCAAATCTGCAGAGTTTACCTCATAAATCGCCGCTAATTTCACGAACTTTGCCGTGAATCTTTTGTACGCATAGAGACGAACTCAATGCCATCATTTTGCCAGGTCCCATTGAGCTTACTAAAATAACTTTTCTCATTGGACCTTACCATCCAGTTGGATTAGCTG